TGAGCACTCCAGAGTCAGTGGTGAGCCTCCTTGCTTTCCGGAGGACTCAGATATTTTGTTTCTTTTAGTTTTGTGTTATTAGGATGTTGCGGGGTCTGTCCCAACATCAATCTTAGTATGGTAGAGGCTTCATAGACAGTCAGTCAGTTAGTATTAAGTCTCTCATCTATGTATATATGTCAATATTCTATTTTGAGACTCGAGCTACCTTTTGGCATGTTATGCATTTGTTGGTTGTTTTATAACCTTTCATTGCATTGAGTTGTACTGTTGAGTTAAGTTTCCGCTGGGTTAAGAAAGCTAGGACAAGGGTTCGCTTGAGGCCAACAATGATCTCTGAGTGCCGGTCCCGCCCAGGGTGTATGCTTGGGGCGTGACAACCGATATCCAAAAGAATTCATGAGCAGTTTTATGTACTATCTATTATTAGAGAAACCTTTTGAGTAATAATCACAAATTTAAGGAAGAGGAAATGTTTTCTTTAAAACATAATAAGCTAAGCTATATTTTGGGAGTAGTATTGAGCACTGATATGGGGGAGAGGTCTAACAACTCATAGCCCCCATAAACCATGTAGCCAACGGTGGTAAAAAGGGTCATACTTATTAGATGATTCCTTATTTATTTTAAGCATAGACTAGTGCATCCACTAAGTTGAGGAGTTCTATACATCGGAAAAGTATAGGATAGTTCTGGCAGCGTGGGCTAGACGTTGTATCATCATATAACTCATAGTGATGGTTGTCGGTTAGAGAATCTCCAAAATAGAGTATTTTATATTTTTATATACAAACTGAGTTATTACTATATTTTTAAAATACATTGAGTTAATAAATATGTTTTACATGCTTTATATAAATTGCATTGTTATCGTCTTTTTAAATTGCATTGAGTTGAGTATCCATGAGTAGTTCTTGAGTTGAGTAGAGTCGAAGTGAGTATGTTCCCTTTTTATTAGTTCAAGCTTGCAGGTTATGTTTAGTATGTCCCCTAAATGCCCGTACATTCCATGTACTGACGCCATTTGGCCTGCATATTTCATGATGTAGATACAAGTAATCAGGATCATCAACTAGTGCTTCGTTGATCCAATCGTGTTCCAGAGTTTTTGGGTAAGCCTCCATAATTCTGTAGGATCCTCGTTTATTTTCTGTTATTCAGTTTGTTAGGATGATCAAGGTCTTGTCCCGAAATCCCTCATAGTATTAGAGGCTTCATAGATAGATAAACAGTATTTAATGAGTCTTTTCATTTTTCATTTTTTATATTGAGACTTGAGTTGCCTCTTTGGCTAATTAAATATTTATTTATAATCATTTTGAGTTTATCTTCTAAGACAGTTGAGTAAAGATTATCTTTAAAGTTATCTAATGTTGAGTATGTCTTTTACTGAGAGTTGAACCAGACAAAGGGTTCGCCTGGGGCCAACAATGATTCTCGAGTGCCCGTGTCGCACCCAGTATGTAGGCTCGGAGCGTAATTAGAAGCATGTTGAGACATAATGCCTTTGGACTCAAAAATGCAGGGGCAACATATATGAAAGTTATGACTACCATATATCATTACATGAACCATAAGGAGATTGAAGTCTATCTTGATGATGTCATTATAAGGCCACAGAAGAGCTCTGATCATATAATAGATTCGAAGAAGTGTTTGACAGATTAAGGTGATATAATTTGAAATTGAATCCCAAAAAGTGTGCATTTGGTGTCCCTGCCGTAAAGTTATTGGGTTTCATTGTGAGCAGAAAAGGGATAGAATTAGATCCTTCAAAAATATAGGCTATTGAAGACTTTCCTCCTCCAAAGAGTCGAAAGGATGTAATGAGTTTTCTTGTTCATCTCTATTACATTAGTCGATTTATTGCACAATCAACTATAATTTGTGAGCCAATCTTTAATTTGCTAAGGAAAGATGTTGCTAACAAGTGGACGGGGGATTATCAAAAAGTTTTTGACAGAATCAAGGAGTATTTATCTAGTCCACCGGTTTTAGTCCCCCCAAAATTTGGAAGACCATGTTGTTGTATTTTTCGGTGTCTCACAATGCATTTGGATGTGTACTGGGACAACATGATGAAACTGCAAAGAAGGAGCAAGCTACATATTACCTAAGAAAAGAGTTCACTACTTATGAAGCTCAGTATAATTTATTGGAGCGCACTTGTTGTTCCTTGACTTGGGTTGCAGAAAAGTTAAGAAATTACTTATGTGCGTATACCACTTTTCTCATCTCAAGGATTGATCCGCTCAAGTATATCTTTCAGAAGCCTACTGGAGGTTGGCAAAGTGCAAATTTTTACTATGTGAATTCGACATTGTTTTTGTCACTCAAAAGGCCATCAAGGGACAACCGCTAGCTGATCATCTCCCTGAAATCATGTGTATGAAGAGTACAAGCCTCTTAAAACTTATTTTCCTGATGAAGAGGTTTTATTTACTGGAGAGGATATTTTAGAAGAATATCCATGGCGGAGAATTTTTTTTATAGTGCTGCGAATTCCAATGTAGTCGGTGCTGGAGCAGTGTTAATTTCATAATCAGGTCAACATTATCCTATCTCAACAAAGTTCAGATTCCTATGCAAAAATAATATAGCATAGTACGAGGCTTGTGTTCTTGGGCTCATAATTCTACTGATATGAGCATACAATAATTGTTTGTTATAGGTGATTCCGACTTGTTGATTTATTAGGTTAAAGGCGAATGGAGCACCAAGAATGTGAAGATACTCCCATATCTGTTGTCTGTGAAATAATTGTGCAAGAAATTCGTTAAGATAGATTCAAGAATATTCCTTGAGATAAGAATGAGTTTGCACATGCTTTGGCAACCCTAGCTTCTATGATTCAACATCCAGACAAGAACTATATAGATCAAAGCAAGGTGAATGTGCAGGATCAACCATCCTATTGTTTTCATGTAGGTAAAGAACCGGATGGAGAACATTGGTTCTATGACATTCACATGAATCTCAGGGAAGGAGACTATCTGGAAGGCGTGAACAATGTTCAAAAGAGGACACTTCGAAGACTCGCAAATCACTTTTTCCTAAGTGGAGAATTCCTTTATAGGAAGGCACCAAATTTGGGATTATTAAGGTGTGTTAACTCTCAAGAAGCAAGCAAGTTGATTGAAGAAATACATGGGGGTACATGTGGGTCACACATGAATCGTTTTACTTGGCAAAGAGGATTCTACGAGATGGATATTTCTGAATGACCATAGAAACAAACTGCATTCGTTTTGTGAGAAGGTGTCATCAATGTCAGATTCATGGTGATTTGATTCGGGTTCCACCAAATAAGTTAAATATGATGAGTTATCCTTGGACGTTTGCAGCTTGGGGAATGGATTTCATTGGCCCTATGGAGCCAGCCGCCTCAAATGAACACAGGTTCATTATGGTAGCTATTGATTAATTCATAAAGTGGGTAGAAGCATCTTCATACAAGTCTGTGACAAAGAAGTTGGTGGCAGATTTTTTCCAAAATAAACTCATTTGTAGATTTGGGATCCCTGAGTCAATTATTACAGATAATGGATTTAATCTCAATAGCGGTTTGATGCATGATATATTTGAGAAGTTCAAAATTATTCACCGTAATTCCACTCCTTATCGACTTCAGATGAATGGAGCAGTTGAGGCAGCCAACAAAAATATCAAGAGGATACGGTGGAATATGATTGATAACTACAAGCATTGGCATGAGAATTTACCATTTTCCCTTTTTGTCTACCGCACCATAATAAGTACTTCTACTGAGGCAACACCTTATCATTTGGTTTATGGAATGGAAGCAGTGTTACCAATGGAAGTTGAGATGCCATCTCTGAGGATTATCCAAGAAGTTCTGTTGAGTGATGTCAAATGGATGCAAAATTGATATGAAGAGTTGATACTAATTGATGAAAAGAAAATAAATGCAGTTTGTCACGGGCAACTTTATCAACACAGGATGGACAAAGCTTTCAACAAGAAAGTACGATTGAGACACTTCGAATTGGGAAAATTGGTGTAGAAGCGAATATTCCCTCTCCAAGATGAAGGTAAGGGAAAGTTTGCACCTAAATGGCAAAGACCTTATATGGTTCAACGAGTACTGATAGGAGGAGCTTTGATTCTAGCATAAATGGATGGTAAGATATGGTCGAAAGCGATCAATGCAGATACGGTTCAGATATATTACATCTAGAAGTTTCTATTTCATTTTCATGTAATGTTTTTATCGTGTATTGGAACTATTTCTTGACCTGATTCACATGGCGGGATACGTAGGAAATCCACATCGGATTTGGTCTCGTACGAAACGTTTGCAAAATTCCCTTTCTATGTAATATGAACTACGCTTGGCCTCATACCCTTGGTAGGATATGTAGGCGGCCTATATTGGCTTGGGTCACTTTATTAGAAAATTTTCAATTCTCCATTTGCATTGTATGTAGCAAACTACGTATGGCCTAATTTCGTTTGGATATGTAGGCTACTCGAGGAGGGTTCGGCTCCTTTATTTCATTTTAAATGTATTCACAGTCTATGTTTGGCTTGATGTCCTTGTTGAAATAGTAGGCAACTTATAGAAGTTTGGTATCAGCTTGACCAAAGAACAACATATCTATTTTCGCCAAAGACTGGGACCATTTATAAGGGCATCACTGCAAGAAGATATCAAGAGATTTGAAGTGTATATGGTCAATCAAATCATCCAACAGAAGAAAGACTTCAGATAAAAGACGTTTGCTTTGTTGCATGACATGTCACAATTTGAAGTTCGATAGAAATTCTTTATTACTATATATACATATATAATTTTATCTTATTTTTAAATGTTATTTTCAATCAAATGTTTTCTTGTTATGTATTTCCTTGTTATTCATTAACAAAGATTTAGAATAGACGGAGGTTATGAGTCCAAGCAAAGCTAGAAGAAAGAAGTACGAAGAGCTAGACCTTCAAAGTCAACATGAATCAACCTCCACTACAAAAAACTCGCCTATTAGCCACAATTATTTAGCCACGGAAGCCTAAAACATGGCAAAGTTAACATAAAAATAAAAGAAAATTCCACGAGTTGAAAATTGTGGCTAGGGTACTGAGGTTTAATATGGCGGGATTATAAGTTTCACTCCCTCAATTTTTTCCTTCTTTTCCGAGAAATTATTTAGCATAACTTAAAATATAAAAAAGAAAACCCGTACACCTGTTTCATCACGTCGCCGAAATCTCAGGCGAAAAAAGGCTATCATCCCCGAATTCTTCGCCGCCCCCAAATCCACTGGTTTGATCCCAAAAATCATACTTCGAATAGCAGTAAAAAGAAATTATTGGGCTGTCCAGGTACACTTCTATCACAAATAATTGTTGTTACTTTTTCAGTTTTTAATTCTCTAATGGCTCGTTGATGAATCTGCAAAAAATGATTACATAAATCACAATATTGTGTCTGATTTTCCCGTCAGTTTGATGAGAAAAATATGGTTGCCTTCGATGGAAATTAATTAGTGAATTATCTGGATAGTTATCTGTGGTTAGATACAATATATATTTAGGGCTCAAAAAATGTTTTCCTAATCTTTACCTTGTACCGCAAGATTGTGGTGTCTTCTAATTAGTTGAGGTAGGGCTTGATAGAATATCCTGAAATTGGTGCAATTAGTAAGAGAATTAGAGTCATGGTTAATTGCATTAGTACTGCGCTTTTGCTTGGATTAAGGAATTCATGGATAATTAAAAGATTTTAAAGTTCTTGTTGGGAGTACTTTGTTCTTATAGATTGAGAATGAAGAAAGCTCACAAGCACAAGTGTATAAAATTGAAAATAAAGTTTGGTTTTAGTGATTGGGTGCAAGAACTGATGAAAAATTATTGATGTATTTCTTGGTTAAGATTGGGCCGGATATGGTTTTCTGGAGAGTGAAATGTTTGGTGTAATGGAGATTGAGGCAATTAATTAGGAAGTGTCATGTATTCAACATAATGGACATTTTACAATTCACTTGTCTATTTGGTAAAAACTACTATTAATCGAATACTCACAAATTGAACTCTTCTTAAGGGAAAGAGTACAACATGTCCCTCGTTGAGATTCATGACAGTCACAATCTGAGAATTGAGAGCACAAGTTTGTCAGTGTTTACTTGTCAGCGATGGAATACACAAATGTATTAAATGACTAGAGTCAGGGAAAGAAGTTATAAAACACACACAAATTTTCTCCCGTCAAAACAGGAAAACAAAATACAGAGTTGTATGTGAATTGATTACTAACACATCAGTAGATACCTCTCTAGTAGTTATGTTGTGTCAAATAGGTTTATCTGTATCCCCTTTTACCCCTTGCCCGTCATTAGTTTAAGTTTCTAAAGAACATATCTATCTGAACTAATATCATTGAATGTAATGGATAATTTGATGTCTTTTTTCAAAATTTATATTGCTTCCGAAATCATTGTTGGTCTTATATAAATAAATTTGCCTACAAATTTGATGAAGTAGTCTCATGTGTATGGAAGTATTAGATTTACGTATAACTATATAAATATGTATCCATTATCATTAAGACCATGCTACATTAAGAGTTGAGTTCTTGGGCGCATAGGAATTTCTGTCAAGACTCAAGTGATTTATGTTATTGATCTCTTTATTACATCTTATTTAGACCTTTTTCATATACATGGAGCTATCATTGTCCTCCCTTTGCTGGTCTTATTGCATATAATTAGAAATATTTATAGGAAAATATAATTTTTCCTTTAATATTGTATAGTTTCTTCTTCTTTTTCACGACTAAACTTTTTTCCTTTTGTTTTGAAGTAATTGTATAGTTATGTTATGATATGTTAAGAGTTATTTATAGTTATGTTGACGCCTAAGAAGGTTATGTTCTTCCTACAGGGCCATGTTGTTGTCTAAGAGGGCTATGAGTTGTGTATAAGCTATGTTGATGCCTAAGCAAGATATGTGCTGCCTATGGGGCTATATTAATGCCTAAGAGGGCTATGTGACTGCCTGTGGGGCTAGGGGACTACCGATAGGGGTATATAGGTTGATTGGCACCTTTCGGGCCTATAGGGGCCTTAGTAGGTGGCTTTGTGTGCTGCTTGTACATGCCGAGCTTAGGGGGACTTGGTTAGGTTGTTGTTTTATTATTTTTGATAAGTTTAGATTTAGGAGAAGGTCAGTACACTTATCTTATCCTTGATTTATTTATCAGATTATTCCAGAATATCACAATACCTCATCATAGTCTATTGCCTTTCATACTCTGTACATTATTTTCTACTGACGCCCCAATGCCTTGGGGGCGCTGCATTTATGTATGGAGGTCCTGACATATGACCGAGTAGACCTCCTCTGCACCAGGATTGACTTTTATCCTGTTGGCTAGCCCCTTCCTTCGAAGCTGCCAGAGTTGGGAGGTTTGTTACCTTTTCTTGTATATATCTTTATGGGTAGGCTTGGGCCCCGTCCTGCTAATATTTACTACTCTTAGAGACTTGCAGACTAGTGTGGGGGGTATATAGATACGTTATGGCCGTACTGGTCTATGTTGTTGGTTTGCTGAAGCTTGTGAGTTGTTTGATATATTGTATTGATATATACCTGCTTTTAGTTTTTGTATAGATATCATGGTGGCTTCGACGGCCCAATCAGGACTTTTGTGCTAGTTGGCTATTTATTTATATGATCTCCTGGGAGTAGCTGTTTCTTTTATAGATCAGTTGACAAGGCCCTTGCCCGCCGAGGGCTTAGTTTTAAGCCGAGATATACTTGTTTGTTTTCTTGATTGTGTGTGGCTGCCATTCGCTAGTAGCAAATGGCTCAGCATGGTCGGCTCGGTCCTGAGTTTTGGCATTAGAAGCCAGTTGCGTCCCTCGAGTTTGGGGCGTGACACTCTTGCTCATATTTTACTCTTTTCTCTGAAACTTTTCTACTTGAGTTTAAAGAGAACTTAGTTCTATTTTTTTTATTTGTTCACATCGTAAATAGTTATAGTCCGACATGATTGATAAGAGTCGTATTGAGAGTTCAATTAGATCGAAAGAATTCTCGGATGGTTTGGTTCAATTTTTTGAATTTGCCTTTTCAAATGCATCTATTAATGGAAATATTTTTTGTCCTTGTATTATATCTGTATTTTCTGTTATGTGCAATAGAGCTGAAGTGTTTCTTCATCTGCTTAAAAGGGGGTTTCCAGAAAAGTATACATGTTGGCATATGCATAGCAAAAAACTTGTTCAATCCAATATAGAATCAATAACCTGAGTATAAAATAAGTCGGCTAGACAATATCCTATGCATGATATGTTGAATGAAGTTTGTGGTGTCTTTGATAATAATGATATTCAAAATTCTAGTCTATCAAATCTACTAAATAATGACTATCCCAGAGGTGCTGAAGGTAAGAGTCAAGAAGAGAGAGAGAAAATTAAGATGTTGTTGAAGGATGAAAATCGAGAACTCTATGATGGTTGTATAAAATATAGTACATTGTCATTCATTGTTTGTTTTTCTCATATTAAGGTCTTATGTGGTGTAATAGATAAAACATTTTAAATGATTCTTGACCTTATAAAGGATGCTTTTCCCCATACGAAACTACCATCATCATTTTATGAGTTAAACAAGATGATGAAGAAGTTAGGTTTCAACTATGATAAGATTGATGCATGTCCGAACCATTGTATGCTATATCGGGGTTCATCAGAGGATAAGAATAGAGATAAATGCAAGATCTGTAATACTTCCAAGTATATGTCAAATGAAAGTGATGTCGGTGCAAATGATGTAATTGATGACCAACATAAAAAAAAATGAGATTCAATGAAAGTGTTGCGGTACTTCCTACTTATACCTAGATTGAAAAGGCTATACATGTGCTCTAAA